TGTGTGTGTGTGTGTGTGTGTGTGTGTGTGTGTGTGTGTGTGTGTGTGTGTGTGTGTTTATGCCCACCTCCCAGACAAAGGGCCCGCAGGCGGCTGTGAGCCAGCTGGATGTCTGCAGGTGACGGCAGCTCCTCAGCCAGCTCCACCACCACGCAGAGCGACGCCTGACACCCGAACAGAACCATCTCCAGGTTTCTGCACACAAACTGCTGTTACACACACACCGACACAAACCCCTCCTTTTCTACGTCACGTTTCACCTTTCGAGCCACAGCAGTGATGAAGAGTGACTTAACAAAATGTTTTAGTTTAAAAAGTTAAACTCAACCTCAAACTCAGAGTTTTTGTGTTTTACTTCAGCTCCAGGAAGAACTTACCGTTTGCAGCTTGTGGCTTTTAGACGTTTCCTATTTGTTTCCTGTCGTTTACACAACATCTGTTTTATCAAAGCATCTTCTCATCACAGACAAAAATAAGCTGCTTATTGTGAGGTTCTGACTCAACTAGAGATACCTGACTGATAATCAGTGACGTTAAACAGCCACAGACTGACATAAATAACAGAAATATTAAAGACACATGAAGGGAAAATAACCGTAGACGTGTTGTGTCACGCACATTACTGACACACACGGACTGAAACACTTTAGAGTTTGAAATGTTTGCAGACCTGATGTCGTCCTTCTCGTGGTAGATGTTGTTCTGAAAACTGGCCATTCGCAGTAAATCACTGCCTCTGGGATGCCTCCAGCACCAGCGCTGCAAAACAACAGGAATTACATCCTTCAGCGTGAACAACTCCTCCAAACCTACAGACTGAACCTTGTGTCAGTCGTGTAGAAAGGATGTTAAAGAAAAGCTTAAAGATTGTTTGTTTTATAAACAGAGCTTACACAGGAGTTAGAACAAAAATCTGTTATTACTCACATGAAATAATAGCAATATGAACACTTTACAAAGTGTTTGTTTCTAGATGGTTTCTTCTGATTATGTGTTCATAAATAATGTATAGAAGATGATGACTTCGGTCTTTAACAAGTTATAAAAAATAGTAACAGGAACAACATTTTAAAGGGATTAAAATCCTCAGATGGATTGATCTGTGTAAAACCAGTGAAGTTAAGTGAAGAAGTAAGTAGACACTGCACCATGCACTGGAACTCAGCAGTCACCAGAAGAGAATTGTCATTTAC